TGTCATTCTTCCTTAGGATATATATATATATCAGGTATATATATATTACATACATACAGTCAGGTCCATAAATATTGGGACATGGACACAATTCTAACATTTCTTGGCTCTATACACCACCACAATGGATTTGAAATGAAATGAACAAGATGTGCTTTAACTGCAGACTGTCAGCTTTAATTTGAGGGTATTTACATCCAAATCAGGTGAACGGTGTAGGAATGACAACAGTTTGCATATGTGCCTCCCACTTGTTAAGGGACCAAAAGTAATAGGACAGAATAATAACTATAAATCAAACTTTCACATTTTAATACTTGGTTGCAAATCCTTTGCAGTCAATTACAGCCTGAAGTGTGGAACGCATAGACATCACCAGACGTGTGTGGGTGTCATCCCTGGTGAGGCTCTGCCAGGCCTCTACTGCAACTGTCTTCAGTTCCTGCTTGTTCTTGGGGCATTTTCCCTTCAGTTTTGTCTTTCAGCAAGTGAAATGCTCAATCGGAGTTCAGGTCAGGTGATTGACTTGACGTCATTGCAGAACGCTTCCTGCGCTTCTTTTGGTTGCTCTGGTGCAGTCTCTTTGATCGCTTGTCCTACTGCACAGTGATCAGCGTCCAATGGTTGTGAGGCCAATCACAGCGGCTGAATATGAGCCGATAATATTCCCGAAACACTTCACAATTCATCCGGCTGCTTGCACTGTCCTCAGTCACATCATCAATAAATACAAGAAAAGCAGTTTCCAGGCAGCCATACATGCCCACGCCATGACACTACCACACACAATGATCACTGATGAGGTGGCACCCACTGTGCATCACGGATCATGAGCAGTTCTTCTCCAGTACTCTTCTCAGTGCCCCATGCACCCAGTACAGTGCCGCCAGTCAGTGCCCATGCAGGATGTCAGTTCAGCCACCTATCAGTGCTGTCTTGGCAGTACCCAATCAGTGTCGCCAATCAGTGCACATATCAGTGCCACCTATGGTGACACCTCATTAGTGCTGGCCTATCAGTGCCGCCTATCCGTGTCACCTCAGTGTCTTCCTATCAGTGCTGCCTATCAGTGCCCATCAGTGTCTGCCTCATCAACACACATCAGTGAACTTTGACCTGTTTGAAACCTAATAGAAACAGAGAGTGTTTTTTTTTTTTTCACTTTTGAGAATTTGTTTTCTTCACCAGGGAAAGAATTCGGCGATTCATACCACCACAGTTGGTTTATTTGTGGTCTTCCAGGTCTTTTGGGTGTTGCTGAGCTCACCGTGCGCGTTCCTTCTTTTAAGAATGTTCCTGAAACAGTTGTTTTGGCCCACGCCTAATGTTTTTGCTATCTCTCTGTGATGGGTTTGTTTTGTTTTTTCAGCCTAATAGTGACAGGGGGTGGAAGTTCCTGTACAGGGATAGTGACAGCTCTTAGGCCAGGGTTCATCTAGAATTGTAGGCAGGAGGGATTCCAGAAGTGTCCAAATAGCAGGGAGGTGGGTAGAAGTGTCCTGTAGGCAGGGAGGGGGTAGAAGTGTCCTGTAGGCTTTTAGGGATTGGGGTGAGGGTAACACACACCTGGCCATGGAACAGCTGAGAAGCCAATTGTCCCATTACTTTTGGTCCCTGTAGGCAAGTGGGAGGCACATATGCAAACTGTTGTCATTCCTACATCGTTTACCTGATTTGGATGTAAATACCCTCAAATTAAGTGCGGTACAGTCTGCAGTGGAAGTGCACATCTTGTTCGTTTCATTTCAAATGCCCATTGTGGTGGTGTATAGAGCCAAAAATGTTAGAATTGTGTCCATGTCCCAATATTTATGGACCTGACTGTATATGTATGTATGTGTGGAATCCCTAGGCGGGAATATAAGTATATGTGTGTGTGTGAATGGGGCTTTTTAGAAGTGCCTCAGGTAGGTGGGAAGGGGGTAGAACCTGTAGGCGGGAAGGGGTAGAAGCGCCATGTAGGCTCAAGGGGGTAGAAGGCCACAATGGTGGCCACAAACACACACCCCACATCAAATAGGTAGGTGTGGGCACATTTCACTAACAGTGGGAGGGTCTAAAAGGGGCATTAAATACCAGGAGAGTGATATGTTCAGACTTCAGCGATGTGTTACATACAGAGTGTGCACAGCTACTAACCTCTGCAGCTCCTATGCACAGCTCACTTTCACCCCTCCTCATCTCTGACCTCTGCACACAACCCCCCCCCCCCCACCCTCTTCTCCCCCCCGCCTACCCTCCTTTTCCCCCCCTTCCTTTAAAGCTTTGTTGCTGTAGTAATCTGAAGCACCCAACCAACTCTAGTACCTCCCCCAAACACTGTAGGTGACTCCGCCTCTCTTACTTGCAGGGAGATCGTAGGCATTGGCACCTGGGCACAAGGCTGCTGTTAGAAACCATGGTGCCCCCTACAGCCAACCTGGCAGTGCCCCCCCCCCCAAAAAAAAAAAACAGTTTACTATGCATTCATTTAGTTATGAATGAACACAGTGAGCAATCAGTACTGATCACTCATTGTGTTCATTCAGGAAAGGAAGTGGTAAATGTGACCTACAGTATCTCTCAGATATGAGTGTACACCTCGCATGTTTGTAAATATTTGATTCTCTCTTTTCATGTGACAACACTGAAGAAATGACACTTTGCTACAATGTAACGTAGTCAGTGTACAGCTTGTATAACATGTAAATTTGCTGTCCCCTCAAATAACTCAACACTCCGCCATTAATGTCTAAACCGCTGGCAACAAAAGTGAGTCCACCCCTTAGTGACAAGGTCCAAATTGGGCCCAATTAGCCATTTTCTCTCCCTGGGGCATGTGACTCGTCAGTGTTACAAGGTCTCAGGTGTGAATGGGGAGCGGGTGGGTTACATTTGGTGTTATGTCTCTGTGCCAAAATATATTTTGTGTGGCCGCCATTATTTTCCAGCACTGCCTTAACCCTCATTGGCATGGAGGTCACCATAGCTTCACAGGTTGCCACTGGAGTCCTCTTCCACTCCTCCATGACGACATCACGGAGCTGGTGGATGTTAGAGACCTTGCGCTCCTCCATCTTCCATTTGAGGATGCCCCACAGGTGCTCAATAGGGTTTAGGCCTGGAGACATGCTTGGCCAGTCCATCACCTTCACCCTCAGCTTCTTTAGCAAGGCAGTGGTGGTCTTGGAGGTGTGTTTGGGGTCGTTATGTTGGAATACTGCCCTGCGGCCCAGTCTCTGAAGGGAGGGGATCATGCTCTGCTTCAGTCTGTCACAGTACATGTTGGCATTCATGGTTCCCTCAATGAACTGTAGCCCCCCAATGCCGGCAGCACTCATGCAGCCCCAGACCATGACACTCCCACCACCATGGGGCCCCAGACCATGACACTCCCACCACCATGGGGCCCATGACCATGACACACCACCACCCACCATGCTTGACTGTAGGCAAGACACACTTGTCTTTGTACTCCTCACCTGGTTGCCCACCACACACGCTTGACACCATCTGAACCCAATCAGTTGATCTTGGTGTCATCAGACCACAGGAGACGGTTCCAGTAATCCGTGTCCTTAGTCTGCTTGTCTTCAGCAAACTGTTTGCGGTCTTTCTTGTGCATCATCTTTAGAAGAGGCTTCCTTCTGGGATGACAGCCATGCAGACCAATTTGATGCAGTGTGCGGCATATGGTCTGAGCACTGACAGGCTGACCCCCCCCCACCCCTTCACCCTCTGCAGCAATGCTGGCAGCACTCATACGTCTATTTCCCAAAGAGAACCTCTGGATATGACACTGAGCACGTGCACTCAACTTCTTTGGTGGACCATGGCGAGGCCTGTTCTGAGTGGAACCTGTCCTGTTACACCGCTGTATGGTCTTGGCACAATGATGCAGCTCAGTTTCAGGGTCTCGGCAATCTTCTTATAGCCTCGGCCATCTTTATGTAGAGGAACAATTCTTTTTTTTTCAGATCCTCAGAGTTCTTTGCCATGAGGTGCCATGTTGAACTTCCAGTGACCAGTATGAGAGAGTGAGAGCGATAACACCAAATGTAACACCCCCTGCTCCCCATTCACACCTGACACCTTGTAACACTAACGAGTCACATGACCCTGGGGAGGGAAAATGGACTAATTGGCCCAATTTGGACCTTGTCACTTAGGGGTGGAGTCACTTTTGTTCCCAGCGGTTTAGACATTAATGGCGGTGTGTTGAATTATTTTGAGGGGACAGCAAATTTCCATGTTATACAAGCTGTACACTGACTACGTCACATTGTAGCAAAGTGTCATTTCTTCAGTGTTGTCACATGAAAAGAGAGAATCAAATATTTACAAAAATGTGAGGGGGGGGGGGGAGGGACTCACATCAGGGGGTCCTGGGCAGCAGAGGGAAACATATGATGCACAGGGAGGGTGATGGGTGCATCGGGGGATAATTACTGGAACCGATCCCCTGTATGGCTCTCTCTGCAGCAGCTGAAAGCCAGCAAGAGGGAGGCAGAGGAGAAGAATCCGGCTTTCAGCTGCTGCAGTGAGAGACATATGGGGGATCCCCCCCCCCCCACCCACCTTGCCGATCTCCCTCCTTGCCCACATCTGATTCTGGTGTTACCCCTTTATCTACGGCCCTGCCTGGGTACCATGGAAAAATGGTGATCACAGTGGGTGCAGCCTACCGCACCCTGGGCACCTGATACTCGCTTGTCCCTGTACTGCCCTCAGTGGGAGCCACTCAGGAGATCAGATCCATGGGAGCCACTGGGAGACAAACTGTCATCTGAAGCCGTACATCTGTGTTTACAAATGATAGCGGTGAGCAGGGAGCGGGTATAAAAAAGAATGGCCCCCCCCCCCATTAAAATAATCACATTTTGTTGCTTTGCAGCCTGAAATGAAGACAGACCGTATGATTCATCCCTCCAGAGAACACGTCTCCACTGCTCTAGAGTCCAGTGGCGGCGTGCTTTACACCACGGCATCCGACGCTTTGCATTGCACTTGGTGATGGAAGGCTTGGATGCAGCTGCTCGGCCATGGAAACCCATTCCATGAAGCTCTCTACGCACTGTTGTTGGGCTCATCTGAAGGCCACACCAAGTTTGGAGGTCTTTAGCTATTGACTCTGCAGACAGTTGGTGACTTCTGCGCACTGTGCGCTTCAGCATGTGCTGACCCCCGCCCTGTCATGTGACGTGGCCTACCACTTGGTGGCTGAGTGGCTGTTGTTCCCAGTTGCTTCCACTTTGTTATAATCCCACTAACAGTTGAGCGTGGAATATTTAGTAGCCAGGAAATGTCACGGATGGACTTATTGCCCAGGTGGCCACCTATCACGGGACCACGCTTGGAGTCACTGAGCTCCTGAGAGCGACCCATTCTTTCACCAATGTTTGTAGAAGCAGTCTGCATGTCTAGGGGCTTGATTGTATACACCTGTGTCCATGGAGGGGATTGGAACACCTGAATCACATGATATGGAGGGGATATGGATATGGAGGGGATTGGAACACCTGAATCACATGATATATGGATATGGAGGGGATTGGAACACCTGAATCACATGATATGGAGGGGATTGGAACACCTGAATCACATGATATGGAGGGGATTGGAACACCTGAATCACATGATGATTGGAATCACATGAGGGGGGGGCCAATACTTTTGACAATATAGTGTATGTGAACAGACACATGGGAAGCAAATGTTATTTCACACGTCGTTGTGTATTGGATGCGGTTCAAACCGCATATATGTTACTTACACAGAGACATGTACTGTACAAACACTGTTTTTATCTTCTGTTACATCAGATTATAGAAGATCCCGAATTCTTCCAGCTGTTCTTTGCAGTGCTCGCTGTGACTATCTTTGTGTCTCTGGTGGGTATTTGTTACATCTTTCCTATCTGTGATCAGATGATTCCTCAAGCTCAGCAGACGCCTCTAGAGAGACTTCATTGATTCGGCGCGGATCTACACTGAAAGGTGGAGTTATATTATCTGTTCCTGGAATGCACAAAGAGCAATTTAAAGGTCTGAAATACTTGCCTCTCCTGGAGAAAATGCTGCTTTAGGCTCTCTACAGTGTTGCCAGATATCACATGACCTAGTGTTGGTCATGTGATACCCGGTGAAGGGGGATCTGAGAGCCCGACCCGACCCGACCCGAAAAATAGAACTTTGTCCGCTGCTGGGGAACATTATCCGACCCGGATAATGTTCCCCAGCAGCGGACAAAGTTCTATTTTTTTAGGCGCTGATCTTTACTAATGGAGAATATTAGCAAAGCCTATCGGAAGCAAGACCCGAGGAAACCTGGAGCAGCATTTGTTCCAGAAAGGGAAGCATTCCAACCTATAGTCCTCCTGCACACGGGGCATTTTTACAGCGGCTGTTTTTGGCTTTTTGATGTTTTTTATACAGCCAGTAAACCCCCCTAATGTTGAAAAAACGTGGCAAAATGCTGCAAACCGGTGTTTTTAGACTTTTTTGACCGAAAAAATTTTTTTTGGTTAAACTGCAAACGTGGGAAAACACTGAAAAAAGCTGGAAAACTCCGGTTTTTAACGTGACTTTACACAGCTAACGTTGCCAGCGTTATCAAAACGTACCGTGTGCGTGAGGGCTTAGTTGTCCATCCCAGTTTTATGTTTGAACTTAAAGCTGAAGTCCAAGAAAAGTAAAAAAAAAAAAAATCTTGCCTGGATTGCGAGGGTTAAATGCTTATTTCTGTCTAAGGCTCTGTTCACACTAGCGTTGAAAGCAAGTGCTTGAGGGTCGTTTTTAACGCTCCTCAAACGCCTATGAAAATGACACACTTGGCAGCACACAGTGCTGTTCACACTGAAGCTTTAGTGTTGCGTAAAAATTGACGCCTCATGTCTGAGTCAGGAGGAGTTGAAGCTTTTCAACTCCTCCCATTCAAGTCAATGGTGACCTTCCTTAAACGCCTGGCAGGTGTTTATAGAGCATTAATACCATTAAGTTCATTATAGGAGTTTGTGGTGCAGTTTTAACGCTTGTAAAACGCCTATAAAATGCCTCCAAACCGCGCAAAGGGCATTTGGGGAGTATTGTTAAAGCTCATTAATTTGCCGACCGCAGATAGCCGAATGACGGCTGCACTGCGGCCGGCCAGTTCTGAGAGGGCATCATATGACGTCCTCCCAGAATGCGCTCTCCTGCGTGCGCCCCCGAGGGAACACACCCGGCGATCTCCGTGATCGTTGTGTCCTACGGACACAGCTGATCACGTGATGTGGTAAAAGGCCAATCACAGCGGCCTTTTACCACATGATCAGCCGTGTCCAATGACACGCTGATCACCGGGAAATGCAATTGCCAGTCCTTGGCTGCACTTTCCTCCCGCTGTCAGAGCGTGAGGAAAGTACTGCTAAGAACCGGCAGTTGTCAGAGCGGGGATCGGCACCGATCATCAGGGCACTGAACATTAATGCCCAGCAGTTCCGCCCAGCAGTCCACCCTACCTGTGTCCAGCAGTGCCGTTCACCAGTTCCACCCAGCAGTGCCACCTACCTGTGCCCATTAATGCAGTGCTGCCAGTCAGTGTCCATTGGTTGCGCCAGTCAGTGCCCAGCAGTGATTCCATTCAGTGCCACCTATCAGTGCTGTCTATCAGTACCCATCATCAGTGCCACCTATATGAGTGCCGCCTATCCGTGACACCTCATTAGTGCTGGCTATCAGTGCCGCCTATCCGTGACACCTCATTAGTGCTGCCTATCAGTGCCCATCAGTGCTGCCTCATCAACGCACATCAGAGAAGGAGAAAAAATTACCTGTTTGAAAAAAATTTTATAATAGAAACAAAGAAAAAAAATGTTTCAATTTTTTTGCACTTTTTTTTGTTTATAGCTCAAAAAGTAAAGAGCCCAGCGACGATTAAATACCACCAAAAGAAAGCTCTATTTGTGAGAAAAAAAGATAAAATTTTTATAGAGTACAATCTTGCATGACCGCGCAATTGTCAATCAAAGTGCGATAGCGCTGAAAGCTGGAAATTGGCCTGGACAGGAAGGGGTAGTAGAAGTGTCCTGTAGGCAGGAAGGGGGTAGAAGCGCCCTGTAGGCAGGAAGGGGGTAGAAGTGCCTGTAGGCAGGAAGGGGGTAGAAGTGCCCTGTAGGCAGGAAGGGTAGAAGTGTCCTGTAGGCAGGAAGGGGGCAGAAGTGCCCTGTAGGCAGGAAGGGGGCAGAAGTGCCCTGTAGGCAGGAAGGGGGCAGAAGTGCCCTGTAGGCAGGAAGGGGGTAGAAGTGCCCTGTAGGCAGGAAGGGGGTAGAAGTGCCCTGTAGGCAGGAAGGGGGGTAGAAGTGCCCTGTAGGCAGGAAGGGGGTAGAAGTGCCCTGTAGGCAGGAAGGGGGCAGAAGTGCCCTGTAGGCAGGAAGGGGGCAGAAGTGCCCTGTAGGCAGGAAGGGGGCAGAAGTGCCCTGTAGGCAGGAAGGGGGTAGAAGCGCCCTGTAGGCAGGAAGGGGGTAGAAGTGTCCTGTAGGCAGGAAGGGGGGTAGAAGCGCCCTGTAGGCAGGAAGGGGGTAGAAGCGCCCTGTAGGCAGGAAGGGGGTAGAAGCGCCCTGTAGGCAGGAAGGGGGTAGAAGCGCCCTGTAGGCAGGAAGGGGGTAGAAGCGCCCTGTAGGCAGGAAGGGGGTAGAAGTGCCCTGTAGGCAGGAAGGGGGTAGAAGTGCCCTGTAGGCAGGAAGGGGGTAGAAGCGCCCTGTAGGCAGGAAGGGGGGGTAGAAGCGCCCTGTAGGCAGGAAGGGGGTAGAAGCGCCCTGTAGGCAGGAAGGGGGGTAGAAGCGCCCTGTAGGCAGGAAGGGGGTAGAAGCGCCCTGTAGGCAGGAAGGGGGTAGAAGCGCCCTGTAGGCAGGAAGGGGGTAGAAGTGCCCTGTAGGCGAGGGGTTAAACACCTGTCTAACGCTATAGGGGCGTTTGGGAAGCAGCAGTTTTATTTGCCCCATCCTCCACTCCCACAGTCTATCCTGCCCTGGTTTATTGGTCTCTACAGCCTCTTCTCTCCTGCACTCTGGTGGTTTAAGATCCTCTGATGTCATCATGACCGATGCAGGGACCATAGTCCTACATTGGACGTGAGGGCACCAAGCAACAGTGCACTGCTGGAGCATGGGGAAGCACCTTCTGATGGGACCGGGCAAGTAAATACATTTTTTTTTTTTTTTCTATCCTCCATTCCCTTGACGGAAGCATTTAACCTCTGCAGTGCTGGTGCAGCCCCATTGCAAGGGGGGGGGGGGGTGTTACTTTCCCCAGAGTCGGGCTTTAATTTAAAGTGGACTTTCACTCTCTCTGGGCCAGTTCACACCACAAAAACGCACTCCGGATACGTTTTTGCTCACACCACACGCAGTTCTGGTGCAGTTTTGATGCAGTTTGCAAAGTTCCAGTACGGTTCTCTACAGAAAAAATGCAGCATGTTCTATTTTTTTTTTTTTTTTTTTTTTTCTACACTGGAACCGACGCACTGGTGTGAACTAGGGCCATTGGAATACATGGAAAACACTGGGCATGCATTTTAAATGCAGCAGAAAAAAAGAATGCACTGGACTGCATCCAATGTGAACTAGCCCTCAATCAACATGGACTATTTTGAATCCTTATGCTGCTAGCTTTGGTAAATAGATAGGACAGTATATCTTATTGACCTGTTTTAGGGCCAGTTCACACTCCATGCGTTTCAGTGTGCTTTTTTTCTGCATACAAAATGCACAGAAAGTAGGTGATGTGGTGGTCAGTGCCATCGTTCACATCAGTGCTTGCAGTTCCGGTTGCAGAAAAAAAAGTAGAAAAAGCTGCATTGTTTGTGCACAGCACTGTACTGGAATGTAGTAAAACGCATCAAAAAATGCACTGGAATGCACATGTCCGTATTTAAATTAACCCCTTGCCTACCGGGCACTTATACCCCCTTCCTTACCAGGCCAATTTTCAGCTTTCAGCGCTGCCGCACTTTGATTGACAATTGCTGCGGTCATGCAACATTGTACCCATATGAAATTTTGATCAATTTTTTCTCACAAATAGAGCTTTCTTTTGGTGGTATTTAATCGCCACTGGGCGCTTTACTTTTTGTGCTATAAATTAAAAATGTGCAAAAAATTTGAAAAAAAAAAAGTTTCTTTGTTTCTATTATAAAATTTTTCAAACAGGTATTTTTTCTCCTTCACTGATGTGCGTTGATGAGGCAGCACTGATGGGCACTGATAGGCGGCACTGATAGGCAGCACTAAAGGGCACTGATAGGCAGTACTAATGAGGTGGCACGGATAGGCGGCACTGATAGGCAGCACTAATGAGGTGTCACGGATAGGCGGCACTGATAGGCGGCACTGATAGGTGACACTGATGATGGGTACTGATAGATGGCACTGACTGGCATCACTGCTGGGCACTGACTGGCGGCACTGACTGGCACAACTGCTGGGCACTGACTGGTGGCACTGAACTGGCAGCACTGCTGGGCTGCACTGGTGGGTGGCAACTGGTGGGCAGCACTGGTGGGCACAGGTGGGTGGCACTGGTGGGCACAGATGGGTGGCACTGGTGGGCACAGGTGGGTGGGCACAGGTGGGTGGCACTGCTGGGCACAGGTGGGTGGCACTGCTGGGCACAGGTGGGCGGAGCTAGTGGGCGCACTGCTGGGCACAGGTGGGCGGAGCTAGTGGGCGCACTGGTGGGCACAG